ATATTTAAAAAAAAAAAGAAAGTGCAAAACCTTTGCGTACAGCTACACACATTTGTGCATAACACAGCTGTAGGCATTTGAAAGGTCTGACTTGCCACAATAGATACTAGATCTTCCCTCCAGCCACAAGCAGTGCCTTAAAGCCTGCAATACAAACGGGGCAGTCCTGACAAGAGGCATTTTTATGAGTGGAAATTCTCCTTTTAAAGGATTAATGTTTACCATTATACTTCTAGCTCCCTCTACCCCATTTTACTTCTTACAGAACCCAGCACATGGTGTATTTAAGACACTGATTTAACTAAGCATATAGTATAATACTAAGTTGTGTGGAATTAAGTTTCAAGTAACAATATTTTGTCCTTCAGCAATGAGCACAATCAAGATGCATGTGCCAAATGGAAAGTAAATGTAATTCTTCCTGTTGCTGATGATGCTATCCAAGATAGGGCGAAAGACCTGGGTATGTTCTTCAGCTGACAGACAAATTTGCTGGAGAACTTCGATATATATAATGCACCAGAGTTGCAAGGGAGGTTGTAAACAACTGCATTGAAACACCTTCCTACCAATTGCTGAATATGCCTGAAGTACCCAGTTAGACATGCAAGAGACAGACAGCAATTTCCTCTTGCTTCTGCATCCTCAGCAAAACAATAAAGTATCTCAACTGTCCCCACAGTTTAAAAACATGGCATGGAAAATGACTAGGCTGATGGGCTCTGAACTGGCTGTTACTTCTCACAAAAGAACTTGGAGTTGTAGCAGATGGTCCAGTGCAGCCATCAGCTCATTGCTCAGCAGCAGGCAAAAAAGGAAATGGACTACAAGGAATTACTGTAAAAAGACCAGATTAAAAACCAGAAAGCATCATAATGCAACTGTATAAATCCATAATGCAGATACATTTCGAACACTGTGTGCAGTTCTGCTCTTTCATCTCAAAAAGGGTTTAGCAGAACTAAAAAAGGGGGAAAGAGCGGCACGCTGATCGAAGCTATGAAACAATGTCCATGCAAGGAGCAACTACACAGCTGAGAACTTTTCAAGCCAGGAAAAAGAAGAGTAAGTGTGAGTAGCGTAAACATCTATGAAGTCATGAGTGGCACAAAAAACGAATAGAGAAAGATTACTGAATGTTTTTCACAGTGCAAGAACTAAGGAGAACCAAATGAAACTGGCAGGACGCTCAAAAACAAACAAAAGGAAGTACTTTTTCACACAATGTGTAGTAAACTCTGGAACTAATTGCCACAGGATGTTGCAGATGCCAAAGTTTACATGAGTTCAAAAAGCAATTAAGAGACATTCACAGGAGGAAAAAAAAATAATCCATGAATGGCTATGAATCACAAAGATATTACCTCAGGATTAGGAAATCTTGGAACCATAGATCGTTACATGCTGAGAGCACATACCCCGCAAGTACTACTGTATGCTTAACCTGTTCTTATGCTGTTCCCTAAGTAGCCACGCCTGCTCATTGCCAGGGACAGGACACTGGGATACACCAACCACGGGCCTCTTTCAGTACAGGTATTCTTATGGTTTGATTGCATTTTAGGACATTTTTAAAGTCACTTTTTCATCTGCTCTGCCCCTTTTTGTATCTTATGATCCTTTCTCCCAGATGGTCTCTAGTCCTAGGGCTTCTTTATTTTCATAAACTCAGTAATTGTTCACTGGTACAAGTATCATGATGATACTTATGATAAGAGGTACATTTACACTACATTTGAAGCCTTTTTTTGAAGAAAAAGTAACCTTCAGTACATTATAAAATACATAATTTGTTAGAAACCGTTCAAAAGATCTGCTGACACTCTTTAAAATATCTAGAATAAAACCTGAGAAGTAAACATTGAGAAACAGCAAGACTCAGGGCCTAAAGGTCATCGAGAAACATTCATATATAGGGTTAAAATACCATTCAAAGCTGTAGAACACAGATAACAAAACCTGCTCAAATAAGTTTTGAGTCCTATATGAGCTCTCATTACGAGACTAAATCACCCATGTTAGAAACAGTTTGACATTAACCAGTATCCTGAACAAACAATAAAATACTTCCAGTGCTTCAGCATTAAAAGACTGACATAACAGAAGTGAGACAGTGTTGCTGTAATATCATCAGCATCAAGAGGAAGCATCCCAACCTCAGGTATATAAATAATTTAGATTTGCAAGTAGAGTTTCCAATCAGGAAGCGAATCCCAGCCTTGTATTTACAAATTTAGACTGGAAATTAAAAGACCGTTTGTAACCATCAGAGGAATGACATCCTGGAACATGTTTTCAGTATGAATAGTGAGCCCCAACAAGTTAACTGATTTAAAGATGGAGCTCAAGATATGTGAATGAGCTGGGTTATATAAACACAGCTGCCTGGAACAGAGAGAGACTGGACTTCATGATTCAAGAGATCCCTTCCATTCCATTCCTAATTAAAATACAAATACTTTATGAATGTGTGCTGTGAGAGTCAGGATTTTCTTTCCTTAAGCAGAGTCCTGATTATCACTAAATGCTGGAAGAAGGAAATTACTTGTATAGCCACCTGAGAGTTCAATGCTCTATGCTATCAAAGTCTGTCTCAAGAGTATAAAAAAAAAAACCCTGCACCACAGAAAAGCACTCTATTCACTAAGGGGAAGGCAAAGAAATCCCTTTTTCCTGTCATTTGCCCACAAAAATTATAACCACTTAGCAATAAAAGCATGCAGAAAGTAGAGAGACCATTGCTGATTTGACTACAGAGCTAAGCAGTGGTAGTTTTAAAATCTTCCCATAGGTACAATAAAACATAACATGTCATCATACATCGTTCTGTACTGAATAACGATTATTTCCTTAGAAAAATGTGTGTGGGATCTGTGACCTCCTGAATCTAGAGAAATACAGTGCAGTGATGGTGTTTTAGCTACACAGTAATTTATGAAAGGCATACTACAAACTTGAAGCATACACACTAATACACAGATACCCAGGACTATAAACACACAAGCAGGCTGCTCTGACAGGTCTGCTCTTAGTTTACAAAATAATGAACCCAGCTGTTACTGCTTTGAAATGGGAGGTTATTCCCAATGCTGGTGAGAAGCAAAATTGACAATGCAAAAATTCCAAGTAGATTTCAGTACAAAATAAAGATGGATTAACTTAAACATTATGTATTTTCTAGTGCTCCTTTACTTTGGTTTGAAACACGGAATATTTAAGGATAAATCAAAATCATGAAGTTTCACTCTATGCCAGTATTTGCTCAGGAAAAAAATTAACATCTGGCATCAAAGCAAGAAAGCAAGCAGCACTGCTCACTAATAAAAGGAGATAACTTCCTCATTAAATATCTGTGTCCCACTATGCAGGTTACCACTAGGTTTATCTCAACTTATATAGAGAGGAAAAAGCCTTATTTTGTAAATACATTTCACCCACTCTAAAAGAATGCCTACGTGAAGGTTGATACAGGGTTTCAAAAGCAACACAGGATGTTTGGAGAGAATTATGAACCCATAATACAAATTATATAGTCACACCAGCTGTTTCAGAGACAAGTCAAAAAAACCAGACAATTTGCTCTAGATTCACTAAAACTCCTACCCACAATTCCAAAATATTATAGCAACACTTTCTAAAGGTCAACAAATACCATAACTGATTGGAATTTTAATAACAATGCTTCCAATAATAACCTAAAACTTCCAATGTAACCAAACCAGCACTATCAAAAAGAAATCCTTAAATTTTGAGTTTATTGTAAGTGAAACATTTGTTTTATATGACATTTTGGATGTAAAAAATAGAAGACATAATTCATACTTCGGAAACTAACAGCGATTGAAGGCTTCTCCGTCCCACTGAACCCTGGATATCAGAACATTGCTAAATAAAAGAAGAAACACTGACCACAGCATCCATTTATTTTGAATTAAATATCCAAAGTCATATTTTAAGAGAAAATTAGTTGCTACATCAAACACAAAATAAAGGTATAAGGAGAAAGGTCACCTGTGATCTCAAGATGCATATATTTATATATCTACATGAACTTCATTTATCACAAGCTTTTTTTCTTTTCTCTTTTGCACAGCATCGTTTTTTCCCCTACAAGTCCAGTTGTACAGCTGGGGTTTAAGTGGAAGTCTCACAGAATAATAGCAGAATGAGCCAAAAAACCAACAATGTATGTGCAAGAGCAAGCCCCATCAGCTAAAAGTCAGTCCAAACATTATTGGATGTGCAGGTAGACAACCGGAGTATCACCTCAGCGTGGACTGTCCCTTTAAAAACTGTCACTGTTTAAAAATCTCACTATATTAACCATAAAACCCCTTAACACTTTCCAAGTGACTCAAAGCATTGAACTACTGTAATACTTCTGCAAGGCTAAATCTGTTAGATTTTCTTCCTTGTTAAATCTCTTAAAATAATGGTCACCTCAGCTTAATAAGCACAACATATCAGATCTTCGTGTCTGACAGGTTTTATTTCTGTATACGTGGCCTAAAACAAGATGGCCAGTAAATCAGGGGCATTTCCAGCTAATCTGTATTAAAAGTCAGTATTATCTGTGGGAAGGCTGCATATTTCACCCAATAATTAAAAAAAGATGGGATCAAACCCTCCTTACACAGTCAAGACTGAATCACCCAGAGACAGGTCTCTGAGGTGTGGATTAATCACGTTGTACTAGAAAAACAAGAACATCCCCTTACAATATTACTCTGTTTTAAGTATATTTTTCAGTATACTGATGCAATATATTTATATCAGTGAATTTACATCTAGCGTAAATTATGTTGTTTTATCACACTATACTACCCACGTCCACTTTTGAATCAGTAAGATCTGATCGTATTTAAGAAAAATTCCATTTGTAATAGTAATTAAATGCTAGCATATGAACAGCCCATATCGCATGAAATGTTCTCAAGGTCAGTGGTCAGAATTTGCTTCATTTCAAGCTAGTTCCAAAACACTACAGAGTAGGTACTTACTGAGATCCTCTGCGAGCTGGACCCTCTTGCCAGTTAGGAGCTTCACTTTTTTTTCATTGTCCTCAGCAAAATCTTCAAGCACTTCCTTTACATTCTTCTCCAAGCGCCTTACTGTAAAAAACCCAAAACAACAAACCAACCAAAACAAAAAGTGAGCGGTAACACTTTTGTACCTGTAATGACCTAAGGACAAAGTTTTGGGAAGGTCTGTGGGAGACGTAGTATATGTTACCAGGCTAACGAATCTGGTTGGAGAAAAGGCAAAGTTCTGAACACATAAGCCCCTTGTTTGGGCCACTAAGACAGGAAATTCTTTGAGAAAGATGTTTCAATTTCGAAGGATATTTTCTCTCTGAATTAAATTATTGGATGACTTTTTTAGGAGGAGATAAAAATATTTGTACACTGCTTTGCTGTCTATTAAATTCAGCAGTTTCTTCTTTGAGACTGAGTGTCCAACAAATCTTTATTGTAAGCATCCTTGCTGCTTCCTTCTTAACAGTTACACTTTTGCTATCAACATCACCCTCGTCAGATGAATCAAGGCCAAGTCAATTAAAAGGTGAAAGATGGAAAAAGAAGTTAATGATGACAGCAGAGTGCAGTATTGAAGGATTGATGACATACAGAGGAGTGTTGTTGTATATACAAGGCTAAGAGGAATCAAAAGCTCTTTAAAGCAGTATTATGTCCATCTTAACACTTATATCCTTGCCCTTCACACTTAGAGGGAATACCTCCTAATGAAACTTCCTCATTTTCAGCCCAGCAGTTGTCAATGAGGTAGGTGGTTTGAAGAGACAGGACCTAGCTTTCTACATTTAGGGGCAATTTCTTCTCCATGGAGGGTAACTTGCATCACATGACAAGGTTCAAACCTTTTACTTGGACCTTCTTCAAGAAGCAGGTTGAAAATTATTTTACAGATCAAAGATCGTTATTAGTAGTTGTACCACGGCACTAGCAGATTGCTACATAAATGATGCTTTATAAGGAAGCTGCTGTTGTATAAGCTTGTCTAGATATTACATGGCACATGTAATGCACGGCTTTAAAAAAATCCATTAGAATTGATTTTTTATATCAAACACTTCTAAATTAAAATCTACAGCCAGATTGACCTGAGAAAAATGAATATAGTCACTATTTATTGAAATTCTTCCTGCTTGGAAAAAGATATTGACAATTGGCATCATGTAAGATGAAAATATTTTAAACTGGAGAGTATCTTAATTATTTGACATTCTATTTACACTAAATCATTTCACGTAAATAGAATGTCAAATTCTATTTACTCTGTATCTTTTAATTACCTAAGCAGGACAGAAAAATCAGCCAGCCATGCTAAGCATGAAAGGAACACAGCTAGAGGAACACTAGAAAATTTCTAAACAATTTTTTGTTTCAAACACCTCAACTTCACTATGAGCCTTACCTTCAGTGTTAGTAAGCTGCTGCCTCAGCGTATTTGCTGTAATTGCCAACATTCGCTGTATTCGCCAGAAGAGGACAATATCATTACATTCGAGCTGAAACGGGGGAAGTTGTAGTGTCAGACCTCTGATGTCCAGTGAACATCCTACACTTATAAGAATCTCTTGACACTTTTAGCGGCAACTGTAAACTCATGTATACATATCCTGATCTTGCACAAAAATCCCACAGAATAACTGCTGTAAGTAACAAGGAAACACACCAACAATACTTCTCAAGAACTGTGCCAGCCCTATTTAATACACTGCATCCCCTTTACATACACTGTTTTCAACAGAAAGAACCGTGTCAAGGGGTATCACGGAAAAACAGTTTGCACACACTGTATGCAGGCTGGTGAGTATAACCTAATGCTCACTGAAATACCACACTGGTCCATAGCAAACACATTGAAAGACAACAGCTGAACTCCATATTGTGACTCCCTGTCTGACAAATGCTTCTGAAGACAGTGTTGGGCCAAGGGTAGTATTTGTTAACAACACAAGAGACAGTTTCTACAAGAAAAACAATTTGCACACACTGTATGCAGGCTGGTGAGTATAACCTAATGCTCACTGAAATACCACACTGGTCCATAGCAAACACATTGAAAGACAACAGCTGAACTCCATATTGTGACTCCCTGTCTGACAAATGCTTCTGAAGACAGTGTTGGGCCAAGGGTAGTATTTGTTAACAACACAAGAGACAGTTTCTACACCTGCAAGGATGGCAGGAGGGAGCACTAACTCCACATTAGGACACCTTAAAAAGACAGTAACAGGAATAGGAGGTTAAGTGTCACGGAGAGGCAGCTCTCCACTCTATGATCTCATTCTCTCTTATGTCTTACAGGCAAAGGTATTTCTGCAGTAGTAAAGATTTCTGGCTCCATAGGGATCTTTGTTTCTCACTAAAAAGAAAAATAAAACTCCACAGAAAGTGAGGAGTTCTACCTTTCCAGTAATTTCTTTTTGATTTAAAATATAATGGTAAAAAACCTGTGTATTCTTTTCTTTGTGCGACTTCATGCATACTGTCATTGTTGCACAAACTTCGGTTTACAAAATTGAAAAGTCATTTAAAAGATCTGTTTGTAAGCTCCATAGTTGTTTTTTTTTTCCCCCTGTTGATCACATGTGGTTCTAAGCATTAACTCTAAACACTTATTTATCATACTTATCCCATAAAAGCCCCTTACTTAATGTTTTCTGAATTTTTCGTATCAGTGAGGTAAATAAATATCAATGGGAAAGTGGGAGAAATGGATACCAACAAGATATCAATAACTGTACAATACTGCTTTTAACTGTGTATTTTAAATACACATTGATAAGTAACAGATGTTTAGGTCATGGCTGATACCTAGTGGTCATTTTATATAATTACCACCAGGATGGCATTTTTATCATTTACAAGCCTCATGTAAAATGTATCTAAGAACACCAGCTATCTCAAGGTAAAGGATATAAAAGAAAGGTTTAAAGTATTTGTAGAATTTTTTTTTTTTTCAACCAAGATGGAAACATTAAGGCAAAACACCAGCGTATATCTGTTCTTCAATTTACCTCTGAGTCCACAAAATGCCTCTGATAATAATAGAAGCCTCTTCGACATAGATTACAGTGGTTCAAAGCAGTCTTCAGGAAATATCTTCTATAAATTTGATGCCATGTGTCTTTAATCTAGGAAAACAGTACTTAGATTTGACTAAATAAATACATACACTCACTATCGTGCATAATTTTTCTTCAAAATTAAATATGTATATAGATATGGCTCTTCAAAAAAACGTAAAATAAAATTAAGAAAATCAGTTGCTCAGCTAGAAAGGAAACTCAATTTGCACTCAAGTCTCCTCATGTAGAGGATGTGGATCACTACTCTGACCTTTACAAAAAGGTATGGTAAATGCTACACAGGGAAGGGGCAGCAGGTATTTAAATAACTCTTCTACCTTGAGTAAGTACATGTATTAATGTTGAAAAGGTAGCCAAAGTTACTGCAGAAAATAAATCACTGTTAAAAGGAAATCTACATCTATTACTTATTAATGTTTGAATTCTCATTTACTTAAAATCTTACATTTAATTAGATAAAAGGTCTAATTATGGGTAAGAGCCTTACAGTGCAATGAGATAAATCATTTTCCAGAACATTTTAAATGTACAAAACATTCCCTCAGAGCACTCTAAAAAACCCTACCTTTTTCCACGTATTTTTACAAAATTTCCCTCTCTTCAATGTACCTATGAACTTCAAACTGCACATACAACCACACCGAAAGGTTCGGAATGCACAATATGTTTTTATTGTATCTTGCTCACAAAGGCCTTGACTCCACTAGATAACATCTGAACAATAATTTTAAACAAGCCTTGTCGTAATGCAGACAAGAAAATCTGCTCAGCAGATCCTGATTTCAGTCTAAACTGACAGATTCCTAAGCGTTGTACTGCATTTGTCTGACAGCCAACAGAAGCGTGTGAATTGCGTGCAAGCAGTCATTTAGTAATTCATTTGGAAACATCTGGATTACACAGTATTTAGATGGAGTCTTTTGTATGCTACCTAGAAAGAATATTCAAATGTTCACAGGGGGCTTCCATATGTTTTGTTACAATTCTGCATCTTACCAGACATGGGTCCACTGTTATTCCTCTTGCTTCAAGATTCTTTCTGACAGTCGTCACCTCATCATTTGCCAGATAAGCTGCATGTTCTTCATTGCATTTGATTAATTTCTCAAGTTCATTTTTTGTTTCATTACGAACATTCTAGGATAAGAATGATTAGTTAGAATTAATTATTATAGACTCAGAGATCATCAGCACCTCCTCAATAAACAGTCTACCTGCTTAATAAGCCAGAACAGAAAATACCTTTGACACTATTAACTATTACATTTAAGTGACTCAAAAGGGTATTTCTGCAAAAACATCTCAAATATAGTATTTCTAAATGGATAATTCACTGTCAATTTTTCATATTTTTTTCTTTTCATTATGCACAGAAATGCAGAAGAGGAAGAGAAGGGTGGGGAAAAAAAAAAAATCATAAGTGTTAGCCTCCTTTCCCCTCCATGAATATCCGCTACGGGGTTCACATTCACATATCACCTGTGACACTGATGAGAACTGTAATTTTTGCTTGACGGCTAGCAAGAACTCTCCATGGATTCATACCTTTAAACTGCTGTTCATTAGATTCAAGTAAGATAGGCTGAAGTCACTGCCTTTCTCCCATACCTGGCTGCACACAGTTGACTGTAAAACTCCTTCCTCTGAAACAATTACTTTCTACTGTATTCTTTTAAACTCTACTTACTTCTTTAAAGTCTGATTCAGTTTGAGAAATATCTAGAAAAAGTAACATAAAAAGCCCATCATCTCTGGGCATTCAACAGAAGGTGCTATTTAAATTCAAAAGAAATTTCCAAAAGCTATGAGCAAACGAGAAGAGCGCTTATGATGAAAATGGTCTATCAGAAGATACAACTGTGACTAGAATGCTAGTGATAATGCTATCACATACTAAGTAAATCCAGATGGAGTATGATGCACACGACTTCTACTTAAAAGGCATGCGTGGAAAGTGTAGAAGAGAATAGCCCTGTTTCCACCCTGTTTTCAATTTCTTTCTACTGGAAGAACTTTAATATTCAGGTCAATGGCATAGCAGTAAAGATGTAATTCAGCTGAAGAATGGAAAACAGTTTACAAACCACTATGTATCTGCAATATGAAAAAAGTATATGGAATTCTCTGTGGTGTAATATTTAAAACAATGAATAGTAAAAGCTATTGTAAAGTATTTAAAAGTAAATTTTTTTTTTTTTTGCAATCATCTAAATAGTGTGAAGAGGGTTGGTATTTTTGAAAAGTTACTGAGTAATAATCAAAATTTTCTAAAGGTAGTGAACTACAAATTCTTTATTTTTTCTTTTCCTTTTACCTGTTCTTTAGTGCGGCCTATCCAGTATAACCACCTTTTTTTCCAGTCTGGACCCACCATATCTTCAATAACAGATTCAGCTAAAAAAGGAAATGTGATGTTAAGCATCACTCAGTAACCAGTCAAATTTATAGTTGTAAAATTAGGTACAAGATCAATAATGGACATTTTATGCCCAAGAACATAAGATATGCCATACTGAGTCAAGTCAGATGCCTTTTACTTAAAGCAACAGTTTATGTCTTTTACTAAAATTTAAAAGTGACTGCAAACCAGTAGATAATTCAAGGAAGTATATAAAAAAACCATAGCATCCCTCCATGAGACAGCCCTCTAGGTTCCAAGTCAGGCGTTTAAGAATCTTATCTTGTTGCAACTTGCATCAAAATTAATTATGCTTGATAACCATAAATGGACCAACTACTTTCTCTGAATTTATCCTATTCTTCTACCTGTGTGTCTGTACCATTTTTTGACTCTACAGGTCTCTATTACTTATCTTTCATCTGCTTCATTGCAAGAGGAAGAGCACTAGCTTTTGAGGCTGTATTTTGCTAAACATTTCTATCAGTATCTGTACCATCTTAAACTGTCACCACTGTCTCAGTTGTACTGATACAAAAACTTGCACTGCAGAGAAGTGAACTAGATCTGGAAATTGGCGCAGATTAAGAAGCACACAAGAGTGGAATACATCACACAACTCACTGTCTTTGAGACGACTTTGGAGCGTCTCTTCCATAAAATGAATAGCTGCATCCCACTGCTGTTTATCAGATATTGACCGATCTTCTAAGGCATTGTGCTGGATCACTCGCTGCAATACAGAACATCGTTTTAGCATACAATAAATCATTTATTCGGGATTTAGTAAAAAAAGATTTCTGACGTTCTCTTCATTTTTTGATGTCTATAAAACCAGCATTTATTGGGCACACAGGATTTATTCAAGAGGCACCTTTTCAAAGCACTGCCAAAAATATTTTCTTGTGCCTTTAATTTGACTCTCTTCTATAGCCTAGCATAAATACTGTAAAAAATATAGCAAACAACATGAAATCCCTCCGGATAACAAATTCTATAAAGATGGTAATGAAACGCTGTTATTTTATGCTGCTATACTTAACAGAACAAATGAGCTGATGCTAAACAATTCTCACAAGGCTGTCCTTGGGCAGCCAGCGGATTATGGAGGACTTTTTCCTGAACTAACCAAACCAATTTTATTAGATGTTGTTTAAGGCAATAATTAACAAAAGGTAATAATAAAACAAATTGAAAAACACCAAATTAAAACATTATATAGAAAAGGAGAGATGGACACATCTCCCTATCATTTTATGATTACATTAAAAGAATGCAAAAATACTGAATATGCAACTTCAGTAAATATATTTCAACAGCACTTAGTCAACAATGCAAAAAAACCCACTACATTGTACCAGGCTATCCTCCGCTCTCTCATTCCATTTATGTCGTTTAATACTTTCTTCTTTGACAGCTTGTTTCAGTTTATCAAAGATATCATCATGTTCTTTTCCTTTTTGTTCTGTCATGAAACGGGAAAATTCTTCTTGCAAAGTCTCCCATGCCACCTAGAAAATTAGCAAACAATACCTACTGAAATGGACCATTATACCATGCACCAGCTGGTAAAGGAACATTTATGACAATTCTTGCCAAGTATGAAAATTTGCATACTTTCTGAAAACAATGTACAAGCGTAAGAGTAAGTAATTTACTTTTGCTTTGCTGCCTTATCCATTACTAATAAAATCAACACTAAACTTTGCTTCGCTATGTTGTAGCAAGTGGAATTCCGTTAAACTTGCATACACCTATTAAATATGAATATACCTAGCTCGAAGGGTTTGTTTAACCTTTTAAAAGGAGGGTTTTTTTGGTCTTTAATAGGGAAAATTCACCAGAAGAGCAAAATACAATGTTCCTGCTGTATATGCTTCTCAACATCAAGATCTTGCTAGCCTTTTCTGACATGTAAGCTGGTGAGAAGAACTGTAGTCAGCCCTTCAAACCACCACCTTACTTCTCTGGAGCTATGCTTTCACATCAACAGGCTTTGCACATTTTTTTTTTTTTAATTTTTTAAAATAACTAAATTCTCACCTCTACTGCTTTATTAGGCAGTTGCTTGTCAGTCCACTGCTTCAGTTTGATGTCCACAGTGGTGTTAAATGTCCCTGAGTTCATAGTCTGTGCTGCTGGAAGGTAGATATTCTCAATCACATGAGTAGATACCCTTTCCCATAAGGTTTTCTGAAGAATCTCCTCCCTAAAATAGAAAGTTGTAACACACATGATGGCTTCCAATACAAAAGTGTCTAACAAGGATGCATTGAATTTGTTAGAAACACTGAGAAAACAAGACTACAGAACACAGGAAACACTCCTTAACACCAGGACACAACTTCAACCAAAATCCACTTGGAACTAAGGACACAAATACACAATGTTTTCAGCAGCAAAGGCAGCTTCAGAAGTTGGCCTCTATGACTTATGGCTGCCACTGCACTGCAAAACAGTTCCTTGCAGCCTTTAATTATACCAATATGACCATACAGAGCTGCGTGTGCATATGCACGGCAGCTGGGGGAACGACAAGGGGACAGAGAGTAAAGCATTGAAATGATTTGACTAAAAAGTCCACGCTCCCAAAAAAGCATATGGGTTTTGTTTCTGTAGTATTCTGATTTGTTTGTTGGAACATGCTGTAGTTTTCCATCTGGGATTTTCATTGATTGCTCCCAGATTTGATAAACAATGAAGAGAAGTCAAACCTTTTACCAAAACGTATATTGACATTCATTTATAAATGTGCCTCATGTCACTATAAAACTAAGCACCGCTTTCCTGTTTATGATGCGTTTCAAGAAGTAACAATGGAAACAATCTAACTTTAACCTTTTTAAATGACAATAAACTTACTTAGGAAACTTTGCAGCTGCAGTGAGACAACTCAGCTGAGCCAGTGTAACATGCAGCTGGTACCCACAGAGCTAGTCATGCTCCTTCTGCTCCTGCCACAGTCTCCAGTACAGGTTGTGGGTTCTTGCAGATTAATTTTATGCTAGCTCAGCATGCTAAATCAGCTTACCAACAGAGTGGAGTGCCAGATTTGGTACAATGGTGAAAGCTAAGAGCCGAAGAATAATAACTGCCTTTTTTTGGTGGTACAAGACTATCAGATTCACTCAAGCCCTTTTCTTACAAATGGGCTGAAGTTCAGGACACAAGCCTCATCCCTGATAATGCCCCTACTCTAACTAGGCCAACTGTGGACAAAGACTGAAGAACTTCTCATAAATATCACTCCTTTCAACAATGGCATAACTGAAAATTTCTCTTTTGTGTTTAAAGCATCCTTCTTTGAGATTTAAAAAAATTTGAAGATGTCCTTCTGACATACCAGTGTAAGTGCGGATCAAAGCCACTAGTTTTTCTACTGTTGGAACGGATCTTTGGCATATTTAGGATAGTAAAAGTATTTATACAAAATTAAAAGGAACTCAAACAGTTAAATGTTGAAAGAATTCACTATAAATAAAAATTGTCACCAGTAAAGAATGTTTTCCTTAAAAAGCTTTGTTCAAAATAGGATTATTTGGACAGCATTCAAACAAAGACCAATTATTGATCATTCTTGATCACCTTTAAAAGAACTAGGGATGTGGCAAATTAATTTCACTTACAGTGTGTGCTGGAAAGTGTCTGTTATGGATTTTACCACTTACAAATGCACTGTAGAAGGGCAGTCCTCTGATTAAGAACAAATGCAATCTCATTCCTTCTTTACTGATGTGGCAATAAAAATACACTTTTGCTTTGCTTAATTCAATCAAACTTAATTGGAAGGAATGGAAATTTTAACAGGATAGAAACATCTGTATTCATCAAATGCACTGCTGTTTTTAGGCTGCATATAATGGCTAACAGAAGCATTTTTTCATGACTTAGGTTTCCAGTTCTACTTTATAGCTCATTAAGTGTTATAAAACTAGAATCACCACTACATTTTAACTTTCAAAAGAAATGCACAGAAACATTCATGTTATGCACCCATCCCATCCACAACATAAACCAAAGCAGACTAGACATGGGCCAGGATACTTCAGCATCTATTACACAGTGAACAGCAGCAAACACCAAAATGGCAAACTGGCATTACATTTGGACTAGAACATAACTTCAGACCAATATACTGCCTACACCACTTTCTCTGAACACATCCACATGCCCAGAATTATTCTAACGTCATTAAGAGTCAGACATTTAATCTTGGTTTTTAGTTGATGACCAACTAACAGTTCAATTCAGGTCGCTGAAGGCAAAGGCATTAAAGAAATCTTTTTTTTGTGGTTCTCAGTTGTAGTACAGGCTGTCAAAGTAATCCTTTACATTGGCTATTCTTCTCTCAGCCTGCATCTACAGTGTCTTTACCATGCTACACTGTTAAAATACTTAGGCTAAGCTCTCTCTCTCATACGTATGTCTGCCTTACAAAGAAGTAGGGCAGAATAGTATGGTGCTACTTGGTTGAGGCTACCAAGGAGATCCACATGTAGGATGAAATTCTCAAACATCCAGATCAGCTCTTTTTACAGCCAGGAATTACATAATCTTTTAACTTCCAAATCGCCGATTCACAGATACACAAAACTTTTTTTCCCCAAGGTCATATATATTATTTTGATATGCACAATGATAATCCCCAAACATCAAGTGAAGAGGAATTACTGATTCATACTTCAAATGAGCATCTGAAAACGTCTTTATTATGACTGTTCCTTTTCATTTTTGAGGAATATCTATTGTTCATTATACTGTATAAAAACAGAACAAAACACAAACTGACATCATAAAATTTTTGTTGAGGGATTATACAAGTATTTGCTGATTCAGAATAATAAACAGACTACTTCCACAGGGACACAGAACATAATAATACATTGTCCTAAGAAAACCAGTTCCCTATTTATATTTGAGAATTTTGTTTACTAAAACTCTTTATATTTTAAAGGTAAATTTCTGCTTGATAATTTGAAAAAAAAACAGGGGGGGGGGGGGGTATGACTTCATCAAGAATCTCATTCTTTGCTTTTTCAAACAGTTCATTCTATGCAGAAGGAAAAAATATGAAATAGTAAGATTTTAAGTATAGTTTGATCATGTTTCCATACAAAGAGTAAAAAAAAACCTTTTTCTTACGGCCTTTAAGCCTAAAATGATACCTTCTGGTCATGTTCTGGACAATGTATGTGCTTGTCATAAGCTACTCTGGTTTACCATACATCTTCCCACCCATCTCTTGCATGCCTCTGGCCAGGCATGGCATTTGAATATTCAGGATCTCTATAAAAGAATTAGAGAATGGGATCATAACTGTTTTGTTACTCTGATTGTCTGAAAGACCAGGGAATGTAACTTCTATTTGCCAGTTCTGCCATGATCACAACGAAACACTGACCTATTCCTGTGGGTAAGTTAGGTCAGTTAACTGTACACTGGAAGAGTGAAGGACTTGTTAAGCGTTGAAGTATCACAATTTTGAAGCACACTATTTCATAAAACAGAGCTCAGTTATTTCCTTCCCCTAGAATAATTTACACTGTCCTAACATTTTAAAATGTCAGTACTTTATGTTAACTTCAAGAAATCTTTACCAATGAGATTAAATGGCATAAATTTTAATCCATAAACTTCAACACTTTGTAGCACACAAATTAAAGCAGTAGTGTAATTTACCCTGTCAAGCTCTCGCAACCGGGGGTAATTGTTCTTCCATTCAGTCTCAAGATTGAAACGTGTAGCTGCAAAAATCAGAAACAAGGCCTTAATTTTTTTAATTGTCTATATGCACTTCATGACTATCTTAAAAGTTTAGCAGCTCCTAAAATTGCCACAAATCTTGCTTATGACAAACCCTCCAAGAACTTTAAGGGCCTCTGCAAATGAGCAAAGTTTTTTGCTGTCTATGTTTAGATATTATGTCTGCAAATCGCAGGATTCATGCATTGAAAAAATGCAGTGGAAAGAGACCCATTCAACTTCCAGCTCTGTACAAGTCAGTCCTGCCCTGGCTGATCAGATGGTATCTTTATACAGGAAGCCATTTTAAACAACACCTGAATCCAATGGAAGAATTGTGTTTTGCCCATTAAAAAAAACTGATTTTTTTTTTCCTTCATACTTATTTACTACTCCTTTGGCTTTTAGAGCAAGCAGGTCCTTCGTACCATGAATTATTTTATGTGCTTTTGTAAAGATTAACTGGGGCAATTACCAATTCATGAGAAATGGTGATCGTATGAAACATATAAAACACAATTGCCCAAGCACGCTGGCAAAACAGTATTATACGTATGTGGAAGAACTAACTGTTTAACAGCAAGTTGCTATTTCACTTGGTTTTTGAAAAGATGTTTACCTTTAAAAGCATCTGCTTGCTGCTCCACAGACTCTCTCACCATTTTCCAAAAGCAATCTGACACAGCAAGACTTAAGTTCTTTGTTGTTACCTGGTGTGCCTTCAGCATACACGTCCTGTAAAGAAAGACAGCTAGAGGAAATTCTTCTATGCATACCCATGCTTTCTGGCCTTCATTTTCTCCTCGCAAGAATAAAGTTCTGCTTTTTATAGCAGAGAATAACATGTCAATGTGCACCTAACCCGAATTACAGTCTTTTCCTCCAAAATATTCAATGCAGATAATCACCAAAGCAAGGGAAAAAAAAACCACCAACCCCCCCCACCCCCCCCCCAAATAAATATTTATTTTAGAGGTTGCAGTACCTGCACTGCAGTCCCAAAGACCATACAGCTTACTTTCCTGAGAAATACAAGCCTGTGAAATCAAAACTCTGCTCAGTGAACTTCCAGCAGAACACACAAGCTAACCCTCTGAATACAACATTGTTGTCACACCAAGACAACTGATATTTAGAGGCCCTACAACTCATATTTGGGCTGGATTCACTCCTCCCAGCTGTATCAAGTACCTAGAAATAGGTTGGGAACTTAGTTCTTCTCGAGCCAATGCAGAGATACAGAAACCTCTGAAGAAAGGCTCAGAACTGCAGTGGAATCAATTGCTGCCTGAAGATGCCTGTCTCTCTCCACTGACTTACAGCAAGCATTAGGAAACCAGGCTAACTTGCACACCTCAACAAGATACTTAATTTAAGCAGATTAAATCTCAAATAGTGTTTCCACACTGCAATCCTTCTTTTAAGTTCAACAAGAAAAACTGATGCTAGCATTTAGCAACACTGGCTCATTTTAGTAAAAGGAATAAATAGCAACATACTTCAACAGCTTTGAATTTTGAAAAAATTCCTCTTCATATTCTTTAATAGATTCAATGCTTTCACTGCTGTTTCCTGGAGAAAGAAAAGAGTGCTGCAACAGTTCCATTTAGGCAGTTTTCTCTGCTATCAAGAAGAATATAAGCAGAGCCAGAGCTCTCTCTACCTTTTCCAGTAACAACTGCAAAATAACCCAGAGCTTTCATTGGGAAGAGTTTGCCTTCAATTATTTGCTGGATCTGTGAAAAATAAAGGATTAAAAAAACATGGTTAACTTTGCACAGAGACATTCTTTCCTTCAGCACAGTTTTAAAGCCAGATCTAGTTGTATCTACGCATAGACTACTATAAGAAGCAGTCTGTCGTGGGACTGAGTTCTACTGATATTTAAAAGAAAAAAAAAATATATATGAAGGCATAAAACAAATAAAGCATAACAGCAAAACACAACATAAAGTGAAAAAGCCTATCCCAGAATATCCTAAAGCCTTCTCAGGAAATGGAACTTGCTCAGGTCACCTAAATGAAAGGAATCAGTATTATAGCAAGCTGTAGCCAAGCTGTGACTGAAGTCATGTCGCTGATCACTAAAAGCAAAGCCTGAGAGAGATTAAAACAACAACCACCCAAAAAACCCATACTGAATACAGAAATATGTACTCAAAAACATCTAGAACAGGTAGGTGAGGTCCAGTGTTTCTGACAGCATCTCAAGTATTTTTCCATATGTGACTTTAGCCATCACAATATGAGAAAAATAGTTTCAACTCACCCTGCTTGGGCTAGCCACGTTTTTCTCAGCAAGATCAACTTTAGTCAACACAAAAATTGTCCTTTTTCCATGGGGATCCATTTGACTGACTAAGTCTGTGACAATACTGCGTTCTGCATCCACTGATCCATCTAAAATAAACAAAAACAAAGTGATATTTTAGGGACAATGTAATCTAACATGCAGTACCGAAGATATAGTAGGCATCAAGTAAGTTTCATGTTTCAACTTAAAAATAGTAAAATTACACCTATACTTGATTTTTGGGTACACACAGTGAAAATTTGCTTTGTTCCCAGTATCATAAAAAAAATTACTTTGTTGTATAAGTTTTGAACAAGTAACAGCTTGCTCAAAATATTAAACTATTTTTGGAGGCACCAGACAATAACACCTCTGAAGAAATCTTGAATTTTATTTTAATGATAAAAAAACTCTTATCAAAAAGTTGCTTTTTGCCACGAATACCAAAGGTGCCTTAATTTATAAATAGACATTCCACAGCATGCTGATTTGCACACTATACAAATTACCACAAATGGAAAAAAAAAAATATATAATCAGGAGAGTCCCCAGAGTCACATAAGAATCAGAATTAAAAAATAAAAAAATCCTGCCAGTTGGATAACCATCTAGACTTTTATTACCTTGAATACAAAGGATGATGGCATTAGGATTCTGCATGTAGGCCTTGCTGATGCTAAAGATTGTTTCCTTCGTATCTGGAGCCATACCTGATGTCACAGTCTTTAATACGTATATGGAGATATATATTTAAAGGGAAAAAGAAAACAGAAAGATGTTAAAAAAAAAAAAGCAACAGCTAATGTTTTCACCCATAACACTACCTCACTTCCATGTCTTAAAGATTATTATTTTTTTAAAATTTATTTCTTGCATACTTACACTAATGACTCCAGGTAAATCAACCAATACCATTCTCTGCAAACCAGGACCTTTCACACTTAAGGAGATGGTCTGTGAAGTAAAATTGAAATCAAAGGTTTATACACACATCTACTTTGTATGTAATTACATACACAAACACACACTTATAGTTACATAAACACATTTACACACACATTTTCACACACATATGCTTTAGACCAGCAACAGCCTGTAATTTTAAATAGGAAGTCCAATTTTATGTGCATGTAGTTGATATAAATCCGATTTTAACAGTCCAAATACACTTTGTATAGTGCAAAATATTAAGTATACACAAACTGGATTCACCACAAATTCTCCTGTTTGAAGAATATTTACAAAAGATATATATGTACAGATATTTGCCACTAAATATTTGACAAGTCTTACCTCAGTGCTAACAGTGCACCCTTCCTTCACACTATTTCTCATTCTGATTTCTATTTCATTTCTCAAAGCTGCAAGCTGTTTTGAGAAAAGCAAAATAGTAAATATAAAACTCCTTATAACTGTGATAGAAGAAAAATCACCAACATAAGTAAAAAGTATACTTGGGGATTAAGATCTCTGTTTATAAATACTAACTGTCTCAAATGCACGTTGAGTAACTAAGTCTGGTAAATGAGGCGCTAAATGACAGATTACCTGCAAACCGCTGCATACTCCAAAAAATGTCTTGGCACAAGAGCTCCTCCTCCATTTTACCCACTTCAGTGCCAGCCAAAAACCATACTAAAAGATAATTTAATAACTAATATAATGCCTTGCCCCACTAAACATATTTCGCTCTAATTAAACAGGGGCTAACAGCCCACAAAGACACAGAATTTTTCAGAGAATTAATACAAGTCACATTAACTTCCAGTCACTTCTTGATACTTACATCCTCTTCCTTGGTCAGATCAAACTCCCGAGAGCTGTCTTTGAATAAAGCCACATGGTGGGGACCCTCACTGAGAGTTACCTAAATGGTAAAAGCCTTATATGAGAAAGTATGGTAAATCTAACATAAAGAAACATGAGAAGTACATAGCACATGTATACTTCCCACTGCAGACATACAGCTATATGTAATGCTTATTTAGCACAGGACTACTTATAGTAGGAACTACTACTACTCTGATAGTATATATGGATCATGTATAGGCCTGCAGAAGTTTTGTCATTGACTGCAACAACTCACTTGCTTAGAGGCCATTTTAGAAACGAATGTTCACATATACTTCAATTAATGGCATAATCAGAGGGAGAACAATACAGCAAATGCTGATTCAGAGATTATGAGGTTTCTTACCTTAACAGGGGAACGTGTCATCATCTCCCCAGACCCTCGAGGGAATATGCGGGCTTGGGCGATCATTTCTAACACACTGGTTTTTCCTGCACTTTGATCTCCAACCACCACCACCTTAAGTGAAAGTTTAAACAGCCATTAGCTTTCAGCAGGACATTTTGGAAGCTTAGACAAAAGCTGACTAAAAAGATGTTAATTGGTATCAACACTGGCTGTATTATGTTTGACAATAAATGCATTGGTCTAAGTATGGAATCCTTGAATAAATGCTAACTTTTAGTCATGCAAAAAAAAATGACTTGTGCTTAAGACAGCACACTCCACAAAGCACCCGACAGGCCTGACCTGCCAGGCCGCCTAATGAAGAGAGGAAGGGCTTGCTGTTCTGGTGGCAGGCAGTTCTTCTCTCCTTGTATGAAATCCTTTCAGCAGGTGAAACACTGAAGACTACCCACCTGGTAGATGCTGCTTCTGCCTGAAGGCTGAATTCTGACGTAGTTGCTGTCACTTCTCCATCTTACTGGCTTCCTATAGAAACCACCAGTGCTACAGGTGGTTGTGCAAGCAGGAAGCGTGCCTGGCTCTCCCCTACACCAGCAGTCAGGCTAGCCAAACCCCTTCTCACGCTCCCCCCTCCAGCACCAGCACGACTGCGGGGAGTTAGCCGGGGCACCTTACCTTCTCAGCATCGCTGGTACACACCGGGAAACAACAGTCATTTTACACTGCTGAGAAGGCTGGGGTGCCCTCACTGAAACCGTTTAAAATGAAAGGCTGAGCACAGCAGCAATATCTGGATCTAGATAGGGTTTTATCTACGAGCCAAGGCAGATTTAACATAGTTACACTGGTTATTCTCAAGATTCTCTTGTTGCATTTAACATGGAGAACACGTCTTAAGCAAAAACCCTGGAGTTACCAGAAAATAGCCTAGCACTGGCTCTGGATTATTCTGGAATATAATTAAATGTTCTATTCAATTATAGGACTGGTGTTTCAGTAAAATGCCTTGAATTCTTTATCTACTTACTCGAGGTAGGTGATCTTGAGTGTTATAACTGGCATCATAATCAGACAGGATGTCAAGTACTTCAGAATACATATCAATCAAGGATTTCTACCAAAACAAAAAGTAGTACAGAGAGAAAACACAGCCAATTAACAGAAGAAAGATTGGGTTTCAGACTACTTCATCTGTATATTCTGTAAACTCATCTCTAAAAATGTGTTTATTCTGTCCTGATGGTTTGAAACCTAAACTGTCTATACTGCAGCACAGATCTGTTTTATGAAGCGCAGTAACAAGTAAAGTCATCCCTTGCCTTCTGTGGATGAAACTACTACAGCTGCAGATGCATCTTGGTGAAAGAGCAAAATGAGAGCTCTTACATACAGCATAAGAGAACAGCAGCACTCAGACTTCAGTTTCCAAGTTAAGAAGCTGAATTAATTTTCTTCCATTAAACATCTAGACTTACATTTTCAGCTTGATGAACAGTAAGCATTAAGAAGGGTATAGAGCTATCAACCTCATTCTGTAAAAATAAGAGCTCCTTAATGGTCAGCAAGTGACTCAGAGAGAGGCAGAAAACATCCGTTTTTAGAACACTCAGGATGTTGGCAGACAAAAGCAAAAGCATACTTAGTTCAATCTCTGTGGATTTATACCGGGCCGTTAAACGATGTTTCCTGACCCTGTAACTATATTCCTACCCAACTCAGTAAGACCCATGACAAAGCACAAAAGTATCAGACTGTGTGTGTAAGAAGAGTTGGAAGCATATTTATTAGCAAATACAGTGAAGCCACATCAAAAAACCCAATCCACATTTCCCGCTTACTTAGGTAAGTTATTTAGTTAGAGCTTGTAACCCCTTTGTGCTCTTCAACTGAAGCCATTTTCAAAAGTTATACAGTTAAAAAAAAAAAACATATAAAAGCCTTAACATGTCAAAAAATTAGCATAGATATAACAAATGTTAAGAGTTCATATATGAATAAACAAATACGATTTAGAATAGCATCATGGAAAATATGGCATAATTATATTTCTATGCTGATTTGTAACTATATTTCTATGCTGATTTGTAACATATAAGTACCTTTAACTTCCTCTGATGAATTCCCTTGTCATCTCTTTGCAGTACCAGTTTTCTTAATTCTTTGTTCTCCTTCTCTAATCGCTCAAGCATTCTTTGGTATTTGAGCTACAAAACAGTGGTACAAATATACTCTTGAAATTACAGAAATAGTACACTCACATGAGCAAAGTTTTACCTATGAAAAATGTATTATCCTTCAGGCAAGTCTTTCAAAAATATAGAAACCTTTATAATCACTACAGTTTATTAAAATACAAGGCCATCAGGAGAAGACTGTTAGTATTTTTTTTCGGCAACGCATCTTTGCTTCAAAAATTTTAGTAAGACCACAATGTTCAAACGTGGGGGTACATATATCAATCTTTAAGCATCTTAAACAAGCATCATTTTCAAAGGAGCTACACATATGCAGGCAGACAGAAATTGGCATCAGTGGGAACTGGCTGCCCAATCAAAAAGATCACAGGGCTTAAATGTGAATTTGCAAGCCTAGTTTAGACCCTTTCTTCAGTATACAACCTCAGTTCAGGAAACAACTGTACCAGCTCAGTCCTGTTTAGAAGGAGATTATGATAGTCCTCTGAAGATGAGACATGAATATAGTTTTGATACCTACTCTGAAAACTGTTTTCTCTGACATGGAAATGTATTTGGCCTGAATGTACTTTTAAGAACAAATCAAATAAAAAACCAGGTAAGTAATAAATGCTTTCAAAACTAGCACATATATAAAGAGCTTACAAACCCCCATATCAAAATAATTTGGCTGAGCCAAAGAGCCAATCAATTTAGAAGCCTACAGATACAACAAAAGATTAATTGTACATTAACTTAAGTAAGCAAGCAAACCAAAATAACGACTAATGTGACTAATATGCATCAACCCTGAAAAAAAAGTCTGACTTAAAAATATCCAGTTCTGCCTTGCTAATTAAGGAGATTAAAACTTTGTTGGAATGAGATTTAGTGAAGTTCAAGCCAATTAATGAGACAGGAAAGAGTCCCACCTTATACCACATGTGCACTGAAAAGCCCCATTAAGGTATAACATATGAAACCCTTATAAGTTTGTTGTAAGGCAACACACCTAGGAGGAAAAAGTGCTGCTGCCTAAACAAGAACTGTAAGTCATATAGCTGAGGAATCATGGTTCCTGCTCTGTAAGGACTGCCTAAGGGATGAAATATTTCTTTGTAAACCAGATCTGCAGCTGCACGCTGTTTTGCCCAATATTATGAAAGCTACCCCCAAGAAGGGCTGGAAATGCTCCTCAGTTGAGCTGATACTGGGAATTCTTAAAATAGCTACGGAATGCAAGACCAGATTTCAGAATGTGAAAACGGTTTTATTTTTCTTTGTTCTTAATGAATGCTCCTATATACTTGCATCCTTGATAGAAGATATTAGATTTATTACTATTTTAACCTTGTCATGTTGTAAGTATAAGTTTTATGTAAGGAGAACAAAGTAACACGTATGCATTCACTATATACAGACATTCATATTAAAAAATGGGCTTTCCAAATGTCTATTCTTGAACTCCTACGTCCTCTGAAGTTAGGCCATGCACTTTTTAAAAGGCCAGTTTGAAAAGCAGTGATCCTAAAGCTGATCTCTGCAGATCTTTTCCTTTTCTGCCAGCTAATGAAGCAGGCTTCTCTTTAGCAGAAGTAACAGAGAAAATACTGAAAATAGGATTTCACTCGCAACAGCACATCTTCTCTCAGACCATATTAAATTACAACAACTGAACTAGATGGAAGACATCCAGAAATTGAAAGGGGCTTGGGTTTTGTGAAGCAATGTTTTTAGAAATGTATATTAAGAAATCTTACCAATAGCTGTCATTATAGTTCAAATTTTCACTTTTTGATTTTTTTTTTTTAAAGGACATCACTTTGAACAGCAAAATCCTCTTCAGTTTCTTAAAGGGATTAAATGTTCTTTTAAATCCCAAAGAGAGGGCAGAGAAAAAGCTTTTAATCTGCACATAGCAATTTTTATACCAAATAGTCCAATCATAGAAACAGCTTTAATTGAAAGAACTGCTTATCTCTTCACAAAACAGATTTTGATGAACACTGCATGGCTTATATACGACTCTAGCATTGTAACTGCAATTATTTTTCTTGATGGAAGAAACCAAAAAAGATACTTTGGTTCTCCTGAATGCCACTGTACTATAATCTGAATGTCTCACCCCACATATCCCACATGATGTCTATTTTTCCTCTTGGACCTCTGATATTTGGTCTGCAATTGCACTTAAAAGCTACTTTACTAGAAATGACGTTTCCTAGATTAAGGGATTAAAATGTAACTCAATAATAATTAAACTCATTTCCTTTCTGCAATAAATGTGCCATTTAAACATACAAGATATCACAGATATATCTAGTAGCAGTGAAGATATTAAAAAAAGAGAACTGTAGAATGTTAGGAGTAAAGTTAGCATGCATAACAAGTTAAAAACTGGAGTATCACCGATGTACTTACATAACAATCTTGGGCTAACTTTACATTTCAGGAATATACAGCATTGAAGGCAAGGAAGGTGTAATCATACTTTCCCAAAATACATTTGCCCTATTCTTACGCTCCCCTCTTGCACTGTCAGTCACTGTCAGAGAAAGAACAGGCTAGACTGACCTCTGGTCTGTGCTAACAGTCAACTCTGTATTGATAAACTCACAGATTGAAAAAAGCACTGCATTCTTCCCAAATATCTTCTATTTCAGGTGTGCTTTTGTCTAGTAAATTTGAGTCTGCTGCACATAAATCTCTACTTAAGACATCAGTAACTCAGAAAAGTTACCTGAGTGCGCAAAAGTTCTTCTTGAAGTTGATCAATCTTCTCTTTGTCAGAAACCTACAAAGAAAAATAATCATGGCTACTAACACATTGTTTAGTTTATCCACTGCAAGTAACAAAATCACAAACTGAAAGCTTCATTCCACATAAGAAAATTGACTTTACATACATTTTAAAGCAAGTAAAATTCTTCAATTAGCATTTGAGATTTAATGCTGATGGAAAGTTCCATCTGGAACAGGAGGTTCACATAAAAAAAAAGTCTAAATTCCAGTACATGCAAATGCAAAAATTAACCCTTCAAGACTTAATACTAGGAAAGTGGTCTTAGGGAAAAGCAAAACTCTATATGGTGCTCAGTTTTCTGGCCACTGCCCTAAATGTAATTTTAGTGGTCAAACTCTCAGGATCTCTTACGTTGATTTCCGGAATTAGCATGATCTTAATGGGATACAATCACGAAAACACCTGCTTGCTACAGAAACTACTTTCAGGTGAGTATTTGCTATTTCTGAAGCTTCAAGGGGATTCTGATTTCATATTTGTTTTTCAGAATTATAATCCTAAACATGCATACACAACTTCCATAAATTGTAGTTAGTCAGGACAGTCTTGAAGGGTTATTTTAGAATTATTTAAATTACATTAAAAACTAGAAAAACTAGGATATTATAATACAAAACATTTTGAAGTTCAAGGCATAAATGTAATAAGATCAGGCAATTAGAGCCATTCTTAGTCAAATATTCTTAAAATACAGTCATCAAGATGTAATAAACAGTTGTTCAAAACAATCCCTTTTTAATAACACAAAAGCAAGACAAAAGCATAAATGGTGCAATACAAATTCATATGATGTAAATATTTACAGACAACAAAATCTAATGGTTGATGGATGAAATATTAAATTTAGAAAAAAATTATAATCTAAACAATTACTGAGAGAATGATACAGGTAAAAGCTTCAATATTTAAATAAAGTTCATGTAATAAAGCTCATGTGACATTTACAACTCAAGTTAGCTTCATATCAGAAAGAGCATATTATCTAACATGCAGAGGACAGCTGTCATTTAGACACAAATCAATTTAGTTACTATATTTTCACACCAGTTGTTACAGATTAAACATGAAAAAAATCCAGTTATTCATAGTGATTGATATTATTTAGCTATTAAACGTGTAATATACAGGATCATGCCTGCACTTTATAGAAAGCAACCCAAGCTGACACTTCCATCTATATCCAATTATTTTCTTATTCATAAACAGCAAAGAGGAAGTACTGTAAATTGACTTCCTTTTCATTTCTGATAATTAGTTCAGTGATAGCAAAAGTGCATCAGAAACAGGGTTAGTTTAGCACACAGACAACTTGATGCACGCAGCCACAGGATGGTATATATAAACAAACATTTTCATATACACACACTTTAAGCACCTCAGAGACATAAGGGGAAAATAAAAATAGAAAGGCAAAGAGAATGGTGTGGAGAGTCAGAAGCAAGAAAATAAAGGAAAGAAAAGGAAAACAAAGCGTTTCCATGCGGTGCAGGTTTTTAAAGCAGTTAACATTTTCCCGCTCTCTGCTCTTAAGCAAGCTGTTCCTGAAAGTACTTCTGGGGCCTTGATGCCTCTTTGAAGTACATATTTACACACAGATTACCTCTAACCACATGAGCACTGCCTTTTATGTACAGTATACTTACGTTAAACACAGTAAGCAAAAATATTGCACGCAGCTACATGTTGCAAGATATGAAGCAAAGAATTATCTAGCACTAGATGATTAATTCTAACAAGGACAATTAGGTAAGTTACGTCAAAAATAAACAGCTCTAGAATGATGTATATGCTTCAGCATTTGGTTCAGGTGTGCTTTGAATGTTTAGCTGCAGTTAGTACATACAGTATTTTGAACATGTAATTCATAATATTGCTAAAAATTTAAGTTTCCAATAGAAGCTAAAACTATTATAACACTGAAGTACTAACAGTCACATGACTAATCCATGATCTATCATTTCTACTCACAAAAAATAAAATAAAAAATCAACTATTAAAATATCTCTATATAGGCACATCAATATTTGTTTAATCCAGTTCAGCATGGTTTGTACATCAAGATGCCTCCTTCTTTCTCTATTGCCACCATGAAGAGTTATGAGAAAAGAAAACTGTAGGGCCATTTTTAATCAAGGGTTCCTGCACACAAAGATGCAGACATCTGCATACTAAGACTACCAGAAGCTCCTTATAGAGTTACTCATTTTGCACAGTGGTTGCTTTCCAGCAACCTTTGTCACACATTGTATAAAGTAAGTATGTGCCTAAGAAAATTCAGTACCTTTGAAACCACAGTTACTGGTTTCAAATTCTCTGGTTATTCTCTAACCAGACTATAAATAATTCTAAATCGATCATCTACAGAAGAACTACAATGATTTCCAGTAATATAAGTGAAAATATCAAGGCCCAGACAAAATGCATGTAAGAAGCAGCCATGCACAGTGCAGCTATACAAGACTAATCAATTATACTGCTAAATATTTATCAAAAGGCTGACAAAAAAAATCAAGAGGAAAAAATTACATTTTTGTTTTTAATACCCTCTCCTGCTTGTGAGACAGTTCTTACTATTATTCCATTTACAACTGAAGTAGATTTAATATTGAGTAATTAAATTAAAATGGAAAATGTGCAAGTAAATTGGGCAACAGAACTTCCAAGACTGGAAATGAAATGATCACGTTCTCTAGTAGACAGGCAAGCAAGCCAATTGAGTTAAAAAAAATAAACAAGGTTAGTTTATGCCCTGTCAAAAGGGCATGCAATGACTTATTTCAACGACAGCTCTTCCAAAGGAGAATTTGGATCCATGATTGGACTCTTTTAAGTTATATCCTCATATCAAGATATTAAAGAAAATAGTTCACGGTCTCTTTCAATTTGTTTCAAGCAAAAAGATTAGTGTGATAAACAAGACACATTCCTTGTCATTAGGCATATATGCCAAACAGCACACTTGAATGCTAAATTAAAACTTTTTATATGCAAGGGCAGTTAGACTTTCAACACTCAGAAAACACAGAGTACCTGCCTTGGAGGTCAGGATAACATTTACAGAGATAGCCCTTACAGCTACTTCACAGCTTGGGAATTGTAGAATTAGTACTGACAAGGTAGAATTTCAATCAGAAACAAATGTAATATCAAGCTCTTTTTTTTTCCTGGTTGTGTTTATTAGGCTAATACGTTTTTATATACCAAATATTATATTGCCTTTCCAGTAATTTTTACATCTTCATATACTTTATTATAAACTTCAAGCTACTATTCCATACTTCAGCTCTCTCAATAAACTGTATACAATCTGACAGAGGCTGAAGGAGTTCTCTTTATTAAAAAGAGAGTAACTGACCAAAAAGAAAATACTTAGACCACTGAAGACATCTTTACTCTTCTACTAAAATACACATCTGTAAGGGAATGAATGCGAGGACATTTGTAGGACACCTTTTGAGATTATTTTATCTCAAATAATTGCATTTCCATTATATTTTGTTATACAATGCCTAGATTCATAACGGAGGACAGAATACATCAGTGTTACTTTAAATCCAGAGAAAATATTAACTAAAATTTGAAAAATGAAATGTGAGGAAAAATTGCCTTTCACCATCCTTTTTTTTAATTAAAGGAAGATTAACAGTTTAGAGTGGCCAGGGGTTGTAACTCTAAACCATAAAAAAATAATATGGCAAGAAAGTAAAACATTTAAATTTAAAATGCTATTTTAGTTTCAGAGAACAAAGTGATTTACTCTGTTGACGGACTAAAAAGCATGACAATTGCAGCTACGCAACTATGTCTAAAAGTTTAATTCACATTTACTGTGTTCCTCTTTCTGTGGGAGTTATCTTCAGATGTACAGAAGATTAAGTTCTGTATCCAGTGCTCAATTTCAAAGCTGTTGAAAAATACGAGTAATCAGAAAGATTTTTTGAGGACACAGAAGCAGCCAACAACGCAATGTGGTTAAGAATTATGGGTTGTAACAGATTAGACAACTAAAATATCCCAATTTAGGAAGCATTTCCAATTAATCACAGCCATATAATAATGAATAAAATGATCAGAGCTTAAATTAAGTAAGTAAAGTGATATGCTGTGGTTGTTGAACATCTGCACATCAGTATAAACTGTGCTTTAAGAGAGGAAACAGACAAAGGAATACCTTTGACGAATATACAGTAGAGACTGTTATTAACAGCAATATTTAATTGTCTGTGCAAAATTGTTTCTAAGGAGATGCTGTCATTTTCAGATTGGTAACAGTATAAAGCAGGAAAAAATGTTCGCAGAGATATATTGCCTGTAAATAGCTATAGTCTTACAAGATAGAGCTACAGTAAGCAAGCAACAGTAGAGAAAAGAGTTGACATTTATTCACATACTTTCCTTAAATGCATTTTTAATGTATGAACTTTAAATAACAGTTTTTATAAAGGCAGAGAACATACAATTTCAAAGTGACACAAAGTACTTGTTTGGCTTTTAACACCATGCTTTAAATGCAACTTGATTAAACTGAAACAGGACTATACACCTGTAGTGAAGTTGGCTGTAGTAATTATTTGGGCCCATGATTTAATTAGTTAGATTTTTCTAGCTCAAATGCAGAAGGCTGAAGTATTTGATTAGTGTGAATACAGTACATATTGTCCCTTAAGGCATCACCTTTCGCTTCTGCTGGGAAGAGCCCATGTTATATTGGCCAGCGGCTCTGCGTGCTTCCTCTTCGTGCTGCTGGATTTGTTGTTGTAACAGAATGAGTTCACCAAGCAGGCCCTGCCATGAGTTTATAATAAAAAGGAAAGGAAAAATTGGGGGTGTAAGGAGAACAAAGTTAAACCAAAAGGCATGACAAAGACAGATGAAAAACAGGTATGAATGGGTCAGTTCAAACAAAAGTGAAATTCCATTAGCAAGATCTCTTGCTAGCTAGCTCGGAGTGGATATAGCCAGCAAAACCATGCACTTTGCAAATCCAGGTAGAACAAAACAATAAACATTTAGCCACATTTTATAATTATATTCAACTTTAACTAAGCATCTAAATCTTAAAAAAAAAAATTAAACTATCCTGGCTTTAAAATATTCTCAAAAGTTTCAGGATTTCATTTTGATTATTCACACCAGAAGTTCTTAAGTATCAGCAATTTTTCACAACTTAACCATGCACGTATTTAAAGAGTGTTTAGGATATTCTACACAAAGTTGTGCACAACAGCTAATAGGCTCAACTTTGTCAGTAACATAAAAGTTCTCATCCTGTTCTTATTCTCAGCAATGCAGACAGTTTATACAAAGATGATTTTGCCTGCTACTTAACTTTCAGACTAGGAGAAGCAAAATAGTTTCTAGAGCATAAAGAAAGAAGCAGCCCCCTCTCCACTTCTGTAACACACTGCCGTTTAAATTCATGCTGTCATTATCCTTCCTGATCACTTCAAAATCCCTGCAACTTCATGCTTATTCCTTCACTTATTCAGTATTTCCACGAAGCTTAGTTTTCTTCTCTTCTCTTCTCCCTCCACACCGAATATTCTTGTAATGGTAAGCTGTCTTTCAAAATTGGTTTAGAGATACTACGCCAGCATCTACTGGAACTTTATGTACAATTTATTTCAGAGAATGCAGACAGAAGTATTAATTAACTATGTAAATAAAGCTCTTTAAAAAAATATTACATCTTCTAAGAAAACATTCAGTGAAATGAAAGGTTTCAAAAATGCATTACAGGAATAAAAACAAATCCTGAAACGGAACTTCAGTGTAAGAATTCAAGACATCTACCATCAAGTCACACATTTGTTGCACGAAATACACACACAGGCATGTACACGTAAGGATAAACAGCACAGGAGAGAATGGATAAAAGGAGAGACAATCAAATGACCAAATATAAACATTTGTTAAATAGGGATTTGTATAACATTTCAAGAATAGAAAAATCTTCACATTTGTATGTTACTGAACCATTTTAAGATTTAAAAAATTTCTATATTGCCAGACTAGCAAACGCATTAGAACTGTGCCAAGAACTCAGGCAGAACAAAAGATTTCATTTCTGTACAGCAGCAAGGAGAGATAGCCTCATGGCTACACTTAGTATTAGAGGAACAATAATAATATTTTGCCATTTCACAAACAAGGAACTCTCAATATGACCTGACACAGTCCCTTTAAAAACTATGCTATGGGTCAACAAAATACAAGAAAAAACACTGAGCAAACCTGCCATGAAGGCCTTTTAGCATTTAAACAGGCACTGTAACAAATGTTTGAAGTCACCAAAACTATTTAATGTGCAATTACTTTCTAAGACATCAGATCTATGTGACTCTTACTCCATAGTAAAGCATGAAAAGCCCTTTTCAACTACAGTTACCCCATTTAATAAAATATCAAGTAAAAAATACAGTGATTTAAAAGGCTTCTCAGTAACACTTTCTTCTTTGTGTATACCAGTCAATAATATTTTTTCCTTTATTTTCTATTTCTTACTTTATAGGTTTGAATTAAAAAAAAAAAAATCAATCAAGAACCTTAAATGGCACGGAACTATACACACACACCACCCAGGCTGGTATGAACCAGGACACAAACAAAAATGTTTACATCTCTGTCATTGGACACTACCACTGCTTCCCCCCCCCAATCATTCCACTGCAAAACTGTATTTATTTTAAAGAATTTTATCTAGAAAAATCAACATTGATCTATTAATGGGATTTCAAAAACCAAATTGTTTACAATCATTATATTATTATTTTCATTCTCAAAGAAACAATGTAAAGGGGAATAACACTAGTTGACAAACACAGTGGCACAAACCCTGCAAAGTCATCAGGAGAATCTGGGTGCACAATAAAATAAGGCAAAACAAGTGCTGACATTGTTACTGCATATACTTAAAAAAACCCATTATTTTACATTAAAAGTTAATATGCTGTAGTTTGGTTGAGTATGACTACCTCTTTAATTTAAAAGTTCCTCATGACTAAAGTCTTTGTGTCCCATTTTCACAAGCAACCAAAGTCCCGTCTTTTTGCATGTCTCAACTCCTTCCACTATTTCCCACTGACTTCAGTGTGACTGTTCATGAGAAAAGCTGAGCCACAGTAAGTCCTTGCACGAAAAATAATTAAATGCTGAGGGATGTAAAGGGGTAAAAATGATGAGGAAGGTAAAGAGATCAATTTCTAAGAATTTGTATAAATGTGTATTTTATCCAGAGTACCTATAACATGAAACTGGGAATTAAGTTGGGAATATAACGGTGCTATGAATAGAAGAGAAAATTATGGAAACTTTATTGCATAACTTGCAAGAAAGAATGAAACAAATGAGTTCTGGGGTTTTTTTGTTGTTTTTTTTTTTTCGAAACAAATGAGTTTTGGGGTTTTTTTGTGTTTTTTTTTTTTTCCAAACAAAGACCAGAGTCAACTGATATTCCTTACTAAAGCCTCCTTTTCACTCTCCAGCAGTAGCTGTAGCGAAGAGCTGTAGAATTACTGTGACGCTTCTTACACCGACTGAAGGTGACCCTGTGTTGGCTGGGCGAGGCAGTCTACGCACTGCCAAATCCTTAACAGTGCATCAGGTTCTTCAAGGCATGAGATTTTATCAAAGTGCCAAAGGCAGAGAAAGGACTGTGTGGTTGGTTTTGAATTATTTCTTTATCTGGCTTCTAAGCCCCAAATCAATACTTGAGTCACATTTTTCACACCCACTTCATCACAGCTATAACCACTATAAATTTTCTTTAGAAATTGGGCTAAGCTTCGGAATTTGCTTTAATAGGAAGCTGAAACTCTTTAAGAAATTCTTTTGGAGACAGACAATAGTGCACGATAATTTTCTAAGAAGGTAACACTGCCATTTCAAGTACAAGCCTGAACTTTTCCCACACATACAATACAATAAAATATCTTACTACACTATAGCTTTTATAACTGTCTTCTCTCATCTTTCTCCAATAACAAAATTTCTTATTTAATCCAAGTAGAAACAGATTTAAACTCCATTTATTTAAATTACTTAGCTGAACACTCCAGTAATTTTAATTTTGTTTTCTTTTCAAAAAGTTGTACCTTTTGTATTAAATGAAAGATTATGAGATAAACACCACATTAGCTGGCAAGAAGCAGTACAGCCTCATTTAGTGTTTGGGACAACGTTCAGTCTCTCAAAGTTAGCTTGTAAACTAACTAGTTTCTGCAGGAAGTTTTTAGAGACCCACCTGAAGACCATGCCCAATAACAGTTCTACAGAACATTCCTCCAAATAAGGAATTCCTAGACCTTTACCAGTTATTTATCTTTTTATAAGGAAACAAAGAAAACCAGCTCATCAGCCATCAGACACATTTAATACCATGCTACAGCACTACAGACATCCATACAATCACAATTCTTAAACTAGTATTGATTAGCAGTGGAAAGCATTGAATGAAAAAAGGCCATCTAACCCACTGTCTAGAAAATAAAAATTTTGCTTGCCAATAAACCAAGTGATTATGCTATGTTGGCTATTCGTATGTGCCTTATTTGAAATATTATGACCAAAATTGATCATATAAATTAGCAAAACAACAGTTTCTAAACATAACATATCGGATATAGCTGGAGTAACAAGAATTAGCACACCAGACTAAATTTTATAAATCGTACTGGTTTAATATGGGCTGATATTTTCTGTACCACAGCCAAAGTTTTGTTGGCAACATTAAAATGCAGTCGTCACTGCATCTGAAAAAACAGAATAGGTATTAGTGATATTACTGGCACTCAGTAAAAATCTCAGTTAATTTAGTTATCAAAGACAATAAATTAAGATGGCCATTTCCCCACGAATCAATAGTAAAGTATTTTTTATATCTTAAACAGTGAAACCTGTGCTAAGCAATCACTCAAGAGAAAATAAAACAATATATAATAAAGACAGTTTACTGACAAAGGGAAAACCAAAAGCTAAATTTTTTTCTGATGTAGAAATCCATCATTGTTCCAAAGGGAAGAAACAAATTATAAAGTGAGCTTTGTACAGGTTTCACTATATTTTGGTATGCAGAACTAATGTAGAGTAAATGTATACATGCCTGCATATACAGAAATGTCTTTTATATAAAACCCCCAGTTATAGTTCAGACACTAAGAAGTTTTCAGTTGCAAAAATAAATATTTAATAACTTACAAATTCCTGATACTTACTGTCTTCCTTCCATTTTTTAAAGATTTTTTTAAAATATACACAGGAAAAATTAAAAGCTTTTAAAGAATGAGCAACGTTACAATTTAGGAATTTAATAGAAATGAGATCTACTATTCCTGAAAGCAAAAAATAAAACTTCACTTTCTTTACTTCAAGGAAAAATGCTAAAACTTTTAGTTATCAAAATACAGTAACATTTTTTTCCAGAAGATAGTAATAAAAATGTGATGTACACTTTCTAAATAGAGTAAAAAGACAGACTGCTTTAAGAAATACAAGTTTTTTATTAAGGCAGAGATCCTTCAGTAAGAATCACAACTGTGAAAATGTCAACAGAAATGAGGCTGCAAATAGAAATACTTGAAAATAACTGTAAAAGCCTAAACCAACTTCAGTAATAAGCTATAAGCTCAAGTGCCACTGAGAACACGGCCGGAAAAATTGCAAATGCACAAAAAGTACCTAAAATTACATTCTTATTACAAACCAAGTTTCTTAAGAATACAATTCCTAAAGATTTTTATGACTGCCTTGTATTTTCGTTACACCAAAATGTTTATTATCATTGTACTGTGTATATATTAAAAACAGCAGTGCATACTCAAGTCATATTCAAGCTGCTTCAAATAAACATCTACAACTAGCTATTGAAACACTTTTAAAAAAATTACCTGCTGTCAAGACATTTTTAGTTTTGCAAGAGAGTAATTACCTTCTTGTACTGTTTGTCATTGTCATATCCCTGGTCAGTAGCTCTGAACGCTGTTTCTCCTGGAGAACCTAGGACATAATTACAGAAACTCATTATACCGTGCAAAAGGCACTTAAAAATTCTCAAACTACACCTAATACAAAATTAAAGTTTCAATGCCTATGAATTGTTAATTCAATAATATTTGAAGTTGCTATCAACTAAAAAAGGTTCACCATAAGAAACTGAAAAAAAAATTCAGTTTAAAACTCATCTGAAAATTTTGTATCTGGTTTGTGTCTCAAATTATTTATATCGTAAGGGAACAGGCAGCTTCAATTAGACTATTAAAGTTCTGAAAACTTTATAAAAATTAATTATTTCTGATAGACATGAAAGGATAATACAAATTCCATTGGTATTATTGTAACAAGAAAAAAAATACTATATTCTTTCCTATTGTAATGACATAGGTTTTCAAAACAAGCTTCTGGAAAATGCCTGAAATAAAAAGCATCTGCTAAGGACTCTGGCAGAGAAATATCAACTGTTCACCTATTCATTCTCACGGGGTGGATCTAAGTATTTTCAAAATAATTAGTAGGTATTCTGATAGACATGAAAGGATAATACAAATTCCATTGGTATTATTGTAACAAGAAAAAAAATACTATATTCTTTCCTATTGTAATGACATAGGTTTTCAAAACAAGCTTCTGGAAAATGCCTGAAATAAAAAGCATCTGCTAAGGACTCTGGCAGAGAAATATCAACTGTTCACCTATTCATTCTCACGGGGTGGATCTAAGTATTTTTAAAATAATTAGTAGGTATTTGTAATTCCATATTAAATTGCTGTAAATAGTTGTGTTTACATTGATATTCACTCCTCTTAGTATAGTAGTGTTTTAAGAGTTTGCTTTAAAGAGGCAGGTTAAGGGCAGTAAAAAGGGCTTTTACACACCTAACAACAGAAGTAGATCAGAAGCTCCTATGACTTCACTAACCAAATTGTAACCTGTGAAAAATCAGCAGAAGAGGGGAAATAAAAATTATAAATACAAAACAAAATGCAAAACAAAGATGAGGGATCTTTGTCTCATTTGGAGGACCACACAACCATAAATGTCAACTACGTCCATGTGAGTATGATAACAAGTAATAGGTGACATCTCACAATACCAGTCAATAACACCACAATTTTAAACAGCCAAAATCTTTAACAGCCAAAACAAATAGGAGATTGTAATCTACTTGTCACTTTGTTGAACTTCATCCCTACTTAGTTGCTCGCTCAGTTTATAAGATGAATAAACTAGTTCCACCATTAACGGTATTTTAAGAAAATGAAAATATGCTTCTTATGCACACTGATAGGGAAATATTTTCAAATGCACTTAGAGCAATGACTACAACACCTCATAGATATAATCCTTCATGAATACAAATGTATGTGGCTTGATAATTATTAAGGTATATAATAGGAAGAATCTTTCACTCTATTACAAGAATGACTGGGTGAAGTTTTGAGCTGTGCTAAAAAGCAAGTCAGATGTGATGAACAAATCAATCATGTTTTAGTTTTAAAAAAGCCACCGATCAGAAATGTCTTATTCAAATCTTCCAAAACCTGAAAACCACTAAGCCTACTACTGCCTAGGCACACTGAATCGACAAACCATCCCCCTGCTTTCTGTGAAGCATTCAGAATTCCTACCTACTCCTTTGAAACATAGCCCCTACCTAAGCTAAATCTTCAAGCAAGTTCTTCTGGAGCTATGTCCAGATGAAAAATATCACTCAACCCAAAAGAATACCTTCATCACAAATCTCTTATTTCACATGCTTGCAACATTAAGAATCATCATTCTTAATAATCCAACTCTTTTCTCCTGTAACAGCTGTGGTACTGTTACCGTCCAGTGCCACTCTCACCTTCTCCAAACTCTAGCTAGACATGTCCAGCTTTTATGGCTCACTGAAGCAATCTAGCTTTCAATCTGTTTGTTTAGAGTTGTAAAAGAAGTCTAGTTTTCTATTCAATTTCACATTTTCGTTCTCACTACTTGCTATTAGAATTCTTGCTTTTACAAATACATTACACTTACCTGTGTCCGTAACACTTACTGTTACCTCCAGTGCCACTCTCACCTTCTCCAAACTCTAGCTAGACATGTCCAGCTTTTATGGCTCACTGAAGCAATCTAGCTTTCAATCTGTTTGTTTAGAGTTGTACAAGAAGTCTAGTTTTCTATTCAATTTCACATTTTCGTTCTCACTACTTGCTATTAGAATTCTTGCTTTTACAAATACATTACACTTACCTGTGTCCGTAACACTTTCAGATGAGATATTCAGTGAAAAGGCATGCATTTTCAGGATCCACTTTCTTTTAGAGTCTAAGGACATACCTGTAACCTCATCTTGTAAAAGCTTATGTTTTCAGAACTAGAACTAAGCTGAAAAATTGTTCTCACCAGGAGAAAAAAATCCTTTCAGCGAAGTGAAGCTCTCTCCAATCTTGTCAAAGTCAGGCAGAAGTTTGGCAAGGTCATCTGCATCAGGAAGGGCTTTGATAAGTTTTTCTAGGAAAACAGTACAACAGCTAATGAGTATTTTTTCTTTCCTATTATTTTCATGAACAAAAGGGGCTTAGGCTGTAAAACCTAGCAACTGTTTCAGGACATGGCTTTTTTCATTCTTTTTAAACAAAGAATTAAAAAGTTTCTTTCCACATGCACCTCCCCCCATTAGTGTTGGGAAAGATTATCAGATCTGAAAAAACAATTGCAATTTTAGACTTTGAACTTCCTGATAAGTTGGTTGCCTCAGGTACTTTAAAATACTCAAACTTATTGCTGCATTTCACCATGCTTCATACACTATTCTCTCACATTCTCTCACACTTTGTAATGGATGTTTTAAAATTACACAGCACTGTAACTATGCCCACCTCTTGTACCTTTTAAGAAAAGATTATTTTTCAGTTTCATAAATAAGCCAATTTTGTAATCTTTTTTAAAAAAACAAACTTCTTAGCATTGGAGTACAAAAAAAATGTAGTGTCCACTAGCAATAAAAACAAGAAAACATTTGTCTCAGTTATTCAATCTCTGCATTTATCTATGCAATGCTCATATATGTAGTGAAATCTTCATAAACTTTTTTTTTTTAAAAAAAAGAACACCACCACCTTACAACCCTCCATATATAAGAAGTAACTCAGTGCTTGTTTTTTAGATTTCTATCTTTCATCTGAAAATATGCCTACTGTAACCAGAAGGTTCAGGAAAACAGTCTATATTTTTCATTTTCTTTTTTCTGTATCTTCAAGATAATTTTGTAGATAGGTAGGTTCACTGTTCTGCATTTTCAATTGGTCTTCTAATCACACATACCTTTTCATTATCTATTTATGTTTTTTACTTGTAAGTGTCATTCATATAGAAAGAAGGAACTTTGTGCATAATACTACGAAAACCTGTGTAAGTCGCTTTGATCATGTTGCAAGCCTCCTTTCAATAACGGGTAAACACGGCCACATGAAAGGATAAATTATGGAATATCAATGCTAAATCATGATGCTTAATTTCTTCCTACAAACACACCGATACAAATACCTTGGTAAGACACACACCAAACTCTAACAATACAAGCTCACTCAAATTACAGCTATAAAGATACCACTGCACTGGGGAGAGGCACTGAGGACCTACGTCCTTATGTTTAAGTTGTACACATGCTAGTCTTTAGATAGAGTAGCATTTTAGCTTTTGTGATACCGAAGTCAATATGTTCATCAAGCTCCCAAATGAAGTCAGGAACAATCCACTTATATTCATCGAGATCTGGCATCATGTCCTTCCACTGATCATACGTCTAATACAAAAAGGAAAAAAATATAGTAGAAATAGAAAAAGAAATGTATGGAGAGAAGCATATGAGCAATCTATTGAAAAGTAATAGCTACATATAAAACATACTAACCCACCATCTTTTAGATATGAATACTACTACTTGGATCTTTTAAAATCTATACTAGTTCTCTAAACAATGATTTCCATTTCCACTCATCTTTATTGTCATCCTGTAATATATCCTGTAATTTTTGTGGATATTCCAAGAACTATTGTTCTGAAACATATAATAACAAAGACAAAATGCATAAAATAGCTTCCACAGATAAATACCTTCTTAGCTGTATAACCACCACCTACAGCAGATCCTAATACAAGATAGCGAAGTTTGAGAAGCCTTGACGCTAGTCTAGCTAGCCAAAAGTTCCTGTGCGACTGGTATCCGTATTTTACATCTAAAAGTTTTGTTTTACGTAGGGGAAGACGATTAAGAGAAGAGAACAGCTGAATGGATATCCTTAATGGAGGTCTTTGAAATTTTGAACTTGGGTAGTAGGGATGATGTATACTTCGGGAAACAAGATGCAAGTTTTGAAGTGGTGATTTTCTTTTTATTCCATAGCTGCTATTTGCTAGACTCCGGCAGATGACACTAAAAGAAAGAAATAAAATCTAAGTAACGGATTTCCTCAACACACCATTAACTCAATAACCTCTTTAGAAGCAATTCACATTACATTTTAGCTGGTTACAGATAGATTAGAGCATCACTCTGAATGTACAATTTCCAGCTATCATTGCTATGCCACCAGGAAAATAAAAGCTGTAAACATCATTGATGGGTATAGCATTTCTAGTGATTTGAGAAATAAAACCTTAGCTAAATAAATAAAACCTTAAATAAAACCTTAAATACCAGTTATGAAGTCTGTTATGAATTAAATTTAACTTCCACACTGGATTAAGGCAAGTAACACGTCTGTGGTAAAACACAATTTGGGCAAACAGGAGCTAAGAGTCCACAAAAGACTATGATCAACTTGCAACGTATAAGGAAACTTGACAGTTTGGCCTGTCTTGTTATTCAAAACGAACTTTTAGAGAGCATTAAGTTCGTAGAGGATTTTCAAACTTCAAAAAAACAATACACAGAAAAAAGCCTTTGCAAAATATATTTGTCCTTTTTTGGCAAAGCAGATTCTCCTTTGGAGTTGAAGCATGTACTTAATGACATCTTTCAGTTCCCTTCACTCTAATATTCAGCGGTTCTACGATTACAGCATTATTGTTTTGTCTTAGGTCATGCATAGACAAGATTACTTCTGGAGATGGCTGCACCGTGTTTGTTGAAGACTTCAATAAAGTAATTCAGATTTATGCAAGAGGGAAAATTTCAGTCTGAAAGATCTGACTCTGAAAACAGAGCTCAGCCATGAAAAGCACATGTTAAAACACAGGAACCTTAACAATCCTGCCTTGTTAAAACAAACTCTATAGGTTGGAATAAAAAAAAACAAACTATAGGTTGGAATAAAGCTCCTTGTATACTTTCAATTACACTATCTGCATGCTTCAACACCTTGAGGTAGCTTTGCTAGTTTAGGCAACTGCTCTGGAAAAAGCAATTTCTTCTGTAACTTTTTAGACTCATCATCATATCAGAATGGTTAATATTAAATCATTTACTGGATGCAAAATATAAGTGAAGTTACAGTTCTTGAAATTAATGCTTTTTCCTTGATGTTTTTTTCAGGGTTTTCAATATTATCAAGAGCATTAACTTACAAAGGGGACAAATACAAAAGAAGAAAGTGCTTCATGCTATCGAGAAGGCAAATTATTCATCCCATAATCCTAAATCATTTAAAATTAACAGATCTTAAAGAGAATAAGTGAATCACATGAAATGGAAAATATTACAGAATTTTCTAATAACATGCTCTATAATCTATACAGTTCTTTGCCTTGAGATTTTCCACGTACTAGAGACAACATTGTCTATGACAGACATATTCTTAACATCCAAAGAAGCGGAAGACTTTGTTATAAAAGCAGTTTTGACTTGCAAATTGAGCTTTTTGAAGATAAGTTAAAAATCAGAATTATGTGAAATGAGGCATTTTCCTCTCTTGAGGCATTTTCCTCTCTTAAAAGACCGACTTTCCCGATGACCTGTGTTTAGAAATTTCCTTTAGTGTAATGGAAAGCTTAAAAAAAGGCAACTCCACTGATTGTTATGAAAGTCCTCGTCCATAAAAGTCACTATGATTTTGAAGGTTATCCTCTTACTGCTATACTAAACTATCTAGGAGGCTGTGCCTTTTCAATAACAAACTTAGTATCTAGAAAGAGGATAATAAGCAGGAGCAGAATAATCCCTAAAGTAGTAACAAGTTTCTCCTCTGACATGGAATTACAAGAGACTCAGAAATTAACCACAGAGAGTACCAATACAAAAGTGGCTACATAGCAGTAAAAAATAAAAGCACCTCCACACTAGAAATTTTTATTTCCCGCTTTTGAAGACAGTTTTTTAAATCAGGGTGTGGTAAGCCTTTACGAAGCAAGCTGATGACTGGGCCGTTATTTCTTTTGTTTTGCAGTCCTAAAATGTCATTACACAGATATTTAATATTTTCAGCAGAGACCAGGTGGTAGTATATACTATGGCAGCCACTTCTCATTATTAGTCTTCACCTAGGTTAAAGGCATTTTGTAATATTACGCAATTTTCTTCTCCGTCATTGTTCTTTTAAAATACACTGTGTTTTACAGCATTCATTCTGTATGTTTAAACTGAAGGAAAAATTGAGCTCCATCACAAATTGTTATGGCAAGAACTTGATCAACAACAATTGCCTTTTGAGTGCTATTGCATATTTCAAACCCTACCTGCTTTAATTGCACATACAAAATCTTGTAATTCATCAAAAAACCCCATGACTCCACCATTATACCAAAAATTTTCTCCTTTCTTCTCTCCTCCCGCTGCTAAAATCTCCTGATGAATACTAACAGAAAAATCACCTTAAGATCTTCACTGAAAAGTGCAGTTAGACTGAAAAGGGTGTCAAAACAATGTTATTAAATGAAGTATTTAATGAGTTCCAAAGTTAAAGCCTCTGGAAAGCTGTTTTTAAGAACAGTAACAAAAATTAGCCTTCCAGACATGAGTAGCTCTGCCATTAGAGCTGCCTGATTACAGGCCTGCAACCTGACCACTCTTGCGTTGCACTGAGATTATAGATAACTTGTAAAACAGAAAAAGTGGCCTGTTACTATTGATAGCCAAGCATTCCACCTGGAAGTCACACCTAACATTTTACACACGTTGCTCCAGTTTAAGAGTTCAAAAAATCCCCACCTCAGCTGGGACAAATTTTCTGTAAAGATAGGTTATATACACTTTTAATAGCTATGTCTGCGAAGCAGTCTTTCAAACGTAACCCAGCAGAAAGCACTGCGGTATTTTCTTTCTCATTCAGCACCAGACAGCACTTATTTTCCTACTGCTGCTCCCAAATCTGCCAAGGAACATTGTGAGATTATCGGCCATTCAGTTTCACTGCTCCTGTCTGGAATCGTGCAGAAGAACAGTGAAAAACAAGAGGAACGTAGGGTAGCTGCTGGGGAGGGCCAACGTATGGACACGAAGGCGGCCCGAACTCCCTAGGGCGGGAACGCGGGAGACGCAGCTCCCTTCCACATCGCACCCCCAGGTCCCGGGGGCGCGGAAAGGTGGGGAATTTCCCCGCCTGGGGAATTCGCACACACACCCTCGCACCCCGACCCGCTGTGCGGCACCGGCTTCCCCCGCGGGCAGCCCCGTTCCCACGGGTGCCCAGGGCCTGCTCAGCCGGGACGGGTGTTACAACAGACACCCCGCCCGGGGCAGAGGCCCCGAGGTCGGAAGAGGCGGGAGAGGGTCGCGGCTCTGGCGGCCGCTCACTCCGCACAGCCCCAGGGGCCAGGCCCGCCGGAGGCCCGTAGCGCCCGCCCT